CAATTAGTTAGCCGTAGCAAATTAATTTTGTATAAATAGAATAGCTTTTTGCTCATGTTGTAAAATAACTCTTTTGTAAGTTCAAAAAGAACTCCCTTGTAAGTTCTAAAATACTCATGAGTTTCAAGTAATAAATAAAGGAATCAACTTTTAAAACAAAAATACTTTTCCCTTTTACGTGTCCATCATCTAGGATTTGATCGTGAACCACTACACTAACTTGCAATTGGGTTCGTCATTTAGAATATATAAATTCTCTAAATTTCCTAAATCCCTAAATCCTTAAGTTCGCAAATCAAGTGAAGTAATTCCAAGGCATTTTGGATACCTGTAAGACATAAGATTTCCTAAGGTTGTAAAGTCTGAGGATAAGGAAGTTACTTACCACAGCAAAGGAACTTAGATAAATTACGTAAAGTAATCAGAGAAGATTATTCCCGATGATAATGCTAATCAGAGCGTTAGAATGACTGCATATTCCCTTCAACTTTATTCATTTCATTATGAAAATATTTGGTAACTGTTACAACCAAATCTTCATTATGTTTGGTAATACTGATACTTACCGGGTGATGTCAGGTATTGACTAAGGTGAAATTATTTCACCCTTGTTATGGTGTATTTATTAAAACTTCCTTCTATATAGGATTCAAATCTCAGAGCACAGCTATTCTCTTACACATAAATGGAAGTCAAACGTCTTGACCAATTTCAACAAATCCACCACCATTAAAACATCAACATTAGCATTCATGAACGATATCCTGTGGATTGCAAACTCACGTGAGGATTTAGACCAAATTATACATATTGCGGATAGCTTCTACCAACTCAATTTTACTAAAATGAACTGGGAAAAATCTGTCTTGCTTACAAAACGTAATGACAATGATAACACATTTACATGTAATATCAATGGTATACTAATATATATGATTTTTATCTTTATTTAAAAAATATTCTATTTCTATTAATTATAAGCTTAAAATCTTTAATTGTAAATTTATTTAAGATTAACTTTTCTTAATTATATGATAATTTCAATATTAATTTACTAGGTATTGAAACAAAGCTTCAATTTTTTAAAAACTTTGCAATAAATCTTAGTATATCAGGTAAAACTGATTAATTAAATATATTATTATAAGATGCTACTGATCCACATAAAAATAATGTATGTATATTTAATAGTAGTTTTTTAAAAATTTTGAAGAAGATATGGTATTAAGTAAAATTGAAATTACAATTATATTTAAAGGTAGATATAGTAGATATAAAGTTTTATTAAGATCAGCTTTACTAGAACATTTTAATTTATTAATTATTAGAAATAAATTTGCTATAATATATTATTTAAAAAATATTTTCATAATTTTTACAATTATATGATCAAGTCTTATAACTCATTTTAATAGCTCAGCTCCCATTTTATAAATATTTATTATGATTAAAGAATTTTAAATAATTCTTTATAAATTAAAAACAAATCAACATAGTGTTTATAATATTAAATCATAGTAAAAACTATTAATTTTTGAAGTATCAGAAATTATTAAAAAGTATGAAAAATATTTGCTAAATGTCTAATTCAAAAATGTTCAAATTTTATTTAAACTATGCAATGTTAATGAAAGTAAGTATTAATGAAAGTAAATATTAATATAAATAATTTTAATTATAAGTTAAATTTTATTAAAATAAATATATTAATTTATAATAGACAATGGTAATCATAAAGAATTAATCTTATTTAAATATAACATAAATTTTGGTGATTGCAAAATTATTTATCATTTAGGGTATTTAGGGTGAAAATTTGTTCAAATTTTAAATGGTTAAATCTTTCTAGCAAGTTCAAGACACAAATCTGAATAGGATATTGAGTGACCAAAAGCTGAACTGCAATATAATAATGCCATGAAACTTGCAACATTTGGATTTAAAACAGCTAATAAAATAATACTAAAGCAGGTATGTTTATTAACTTTTAAAATACTAATTCTTCTATTATTATTATATTAAATAGTACTAACAATGTATGTCTCAAAATCCTTTATTACATTGCAGGATAAACTGATAGCAAAATCATTGTTTAATGGTAGATTACATATTATATGTTTAGCATTATTAATTATTTTTTGAAAAAAATCGATTTTGATCCACTTAAGATCATTAATACCGTAGTTATTTTTTTAATAATAACTAACAAACATGGGGTAAGTGCTGGGAAAATGGACCAAATTGATTTTTTTTTTAAAAAAAAAGTTTCTAAGTAATATAGATGTAGATTTGATCATCTGATTCAGATCATTTGTTATTTCAAAAAAAAATTTTTTGTCAATTTGGTCCCTTTTCCCAGCACTCACCCCACATATAAAAATAAGTTTACTAGCTTAAATATATTAATGTAGCTTATTTTTCGATATAAAACGCTTAATTTCATCAGGAAAACTGAAAAATGTAATATTTATGTAATTTTTATAGTAATGTATTAATTTTATATAATATATTATGTCTTTACTAGTATTATATAAATAATATATTTTATATATATATCATTAAAAAATTGATGTAATATTTTATATAATTTGTACTTTTCTATAAAATTTATA